CAGGTGGTTAGCACTCGCGTGCGATCGCGTTCAGCAATGACGTAGAAACGTACGCTCTTCTGCAATAAGGGAAATCTAAGGACATCATTGCCAAGGAGTTTAGTCGACTTCCAGTGAACCAGTACGTCATGGTCAAGGTCTTCTTTATACCAATTACTGATATCATCGGCCTTTCAACGATAGTTTTTCAAGCTCCCGATTGATTTTTTTGAATGCATTCCAATCCTAGTCCCAAAAGGAGATTGCTCATCGCGTTACATATTTGTTTGCCACACTCCCGAACCACTGACGAGACAAAATGTTGTAAACTTCAATTGTCCAGTCTCCCTAGGACGCTCCAGCGAGAATCGTAAACGTCCGTTAGATTGCTTCTATCATGTTAACTCAATGATGTTAATAAACAAATGAGATAGAACTGGGAAATTAAAAATAAAACATTGACACTGATACGTCAATAGTAAAACAGTTGCAAAACCGCGACTTCAAATCTTTCAGTGTTCGCTTGTTTGATTGCCCTCTCGAAATATTCTGATTGAAATTTCGACATCTACCCCACGTTGAGACTGATATTTGTTAAGAGTGACCGAAAGCTTGCGTTCCCCAGTTGGCGAGGTAGCGGGATACGGCTGGATGCGTCAAACATGGTCGAACCGCCACTGTCTGACCACAAGCGAGTAGCCCTGTTCCGAACGTAGCGAATCACCCGACTTGTGAAAGGACTGAGGTTAGACTACCCACAAAGAACATTGTGTGCTCTTTTTAAGAACCGTTTATTGAAATCCGGTAAACATTTAGTCAATCCAATTTCCCTGGTCATGATCTGACACGAGATTAACACTTTTGAGGAACAAAGCCTCACTTCATTTCGTTCAGTAATGTAAAGGGAATTGTGCTATTTACACCTCCACACACCCCTGCTTTTCAGACTTAACCTGCTTGGGAGTGAACGCGTTCGATCGTTTCTTATTCACTTTCCATTTGTATATCAAATATTTCACTCCTCGTTCTCTTTACCTCGAACCCGTTCTCCTTGCCGCCCCCTATTCGATGCTTGAACAGACGACCTGCGTGGTTCATCTCCCGGTGCTAGTGATTTGAATGTGAACGGTGAAACAAAGCCAGTATCCAGTAAAGACAATCGGGTAAGTCTTGTGATCGATTTCTTCCGGGCTCGGTACTGTGATGACCACGTGAGGTGAACCTGTCATCTTTTTCATACGCTCAAAGCCTTACGAGTTCCAAAATGTAGCGGACTATCTCGGAAATTATCCTTTGGTCTGCACTAATCAAACTGTCTCTGAACCCTTCTAAATGACATAGACATTATTTTCCTTTGACCAATCCAGTAAATTTTTCTGTACCTCTTCTGATATACCTTTAATCCGCAGAACATCCCAATGTTATATTTAACCGGAATCTTAATTTGGCTGAATATGTTATTTATGCTCCCATTATATTACGAAGGCATCTTCCTTCCTCCCCCTAATTCCTACTGTACCTTTCCATGTGATCAGACGGTTTGTATTTACTTGCATTTTACCCGACAGTATTCTCTGGTCTACTTGTAGAAGATTTCCACAATTTTCGTAGCTCGCTTCTTGAAGCCATCACTTCCCAACCGCGACCCTTCAGCACACTGATGTAAGCAAATGCACATCAACTCTCAATCCGAATTCAGACGCCTATTTTTACACACTCCCGTGTAAAATCCTCTATCATAGCTTGCCTTCTTAGGCTCATCTGCCAACCTGAACGCATTTGCAATAAACTCACAATCCAACTGAATGAACTACTGTTGTGTTTATTTGGCGTCTTCTCAGTTTATTGTTTTGCCGCTTCAGTTCTGTGGTTTTTGCCAAATGTTCGCCTTCGTGTGAAATAAAACACCTACGTGTCTCTACTGTACAAATCCCTATGATGTTATCCGCTTGAAGCGGAGTAACTGTTGCGCAGTTCTATTTGTCAAGGAGTCTGTTTAGTCCCTGAAAGCTCACTGGCAGCTCACCTTCATAACCCTCCGATCAGGGTTCCCGAAAGAGAAACCACAAATTATGTCGTGTCCTAAAGTCTCAGTCGCCCAATCTGTAAAGCCTTTTCCTCATCTGTTCTTCCTCTCACTCCCAAATCATACGAAATGTCTCCTCTGTGTGCCATCCATGAGATTTTACTCTTCCCTTAAACAACCAATCAGTAAGAGAGGATTGATAAGATCAAAATCTCTTTCACGTAGCCGCATTCTGTCTGCACACTGTAACAGGTGGATCTACAATCTCCTTATCCAGAACTCTCGAAATTTCCATTGTAGACGTACGCGATGTATAAAACATAGGTACTGCTCTAATGCATTCTATCCCCAATAACAATGGTTACAACCTGTCACTTGCAGTTTCTCCCTTTGTTATCCGCACTCATCATAACCGGCGGTTACAAACACTAAGTATCATAGTAAGTGGCGCTCGTGCATCTACTTATCGCCCGTGCAACCATATCCACAGGAATTCTCCACTTTCACCGTCACACTACTTTCAGCATTCCGATCCCCGTTCCACCCCTTCATCCAAATGGGTAGCCGAGAGATAGCAATCAAAACTGCCACACAAACGTTCATGATTGTTCCAAGCGAAATTAAATGTAACGAGATATAAGTCTATCACATTTTATTATCTCTCGTTTAGTCTTCTGTGATAAATTTTAGAATGCCGGAGAGGAGGTATGTTCGGAATCCTTTAATTTACTAAGTCATGTTCGCTCGTTTTGCCCGTTTTTACGTCCGAATGGACTTTTGTCCAAATCATCCGAGGCCGCACTCAAACTGGTTAACTGAATGTTTGGCATGCTGTTTCTTTTCCGGTCAATTTGAACATTGATAATTTCGACATGAGCTGTTTTTTCAAAATGCTGTTGTGTGCGTGTGTGATTATATAGGGAAGTACCTCTCGCACGATGGATCGATTTTTTAGTCGATTTATTACCCTCTACTTCCTCTTGCTGTCTAGTCGTGGTAGCTAATGGTAACCATAAGCTGTTCTCCAATCGTTTATTTATTCATAATTTTATGATGATCTCACCCCACCCTAACCCTCTAATGAAGTGAAAGACCACAAAAAACCGGTGTAATTTGGATGGCTTGTTCTGGTACAAGCAGCGACACGTATTCCACGGATACACATCACTATTTTCTTGGTTTGGGTAACCGAGGTCTCTCGAGTTCACTCACATTTCAGAAATCCGATGGACACTGGTTTTATTCCGTTCCCAAATATTGCTCCTCATCGACTGCCTATCCACTCAACAAAAACGTTTTCCCCTAAGTTTTTTCTCACAATGATCTTGCATAAGCATAGAGAACCGTTTTGAAACAACTTATCGCCCTGGAGGGCGTTTGTCCGGGCCACACCACGACCACTACTTAACATTCCCCATTTTCTATGGATCGAATGGTAGCACTTTGATTGACCACTTCACTCCTGAAACATTTTTGTGAATCATTGTGTATTGAATGAGAGAGAGAGAGAGAAAGGCGAAGAAAAAATATTGTGCTTGTCGGGGTGGTATACTCTTCGATCCACCCGAATGCAAATTAATTCTTCAATATTGACGGAAACCTGTTCCTGTACTCACCTTAGCTGGTATTTGTCCGGGAACGAACATTGGAAGTGCGTCACTTTGGGGTTTTGAGACCCAGTTTCATCGTGTCGATAAGGTTTGACAGCCTCCGGTATTCTATCATCTTTGAGTTATTGTCAACGTCTGGTGGGAACAGCATGTGAGCAAAAGAGGGCCCCGATGGTGTGTACTGGCTATCGATAGCCATTTCCTATCCCATAGCTTGGGAACGTACTATGCCTATCTGCTAACTCCATTCCCTNTTCGCCAATTCTGAGCATGACTGAAAGAATCGTCATGACTATTTATCCGCGATTAAGAGTAGAGGCGTGAAGAAGTCGACGTTTAGTAACGGTCTTCATTGGTTATTGAACGTCGTTAGTTAGAGACACGGATGCATATGACTCAAGGTAGGCTCCCAGGGCTCAAATGTTGTTATATATATATATATATATATATATATATATGTAAAGTGGTTTGGAAATACCGTTGGCCTCCCAATCAGGCAACTATGGGTAACGGTACTTTTTAGCCGCTGTCACCAGCGTGCTTTACACCATATGGTCCGAGATTCAAACCCCACCACTGCTACCCAACTTTGGTGGTACACCGCTTTGCTGTCGTCCGGTTCAATTCCACGTTTAACCAACCTTTCTGTGGTTTACGACTCCAACTCCTGGGATTAAGGTTTCCGGTTTCCATCACCCAACAACAGGTCTTCGGGTCTATGGGGTTCATACCATCTGCTGTTCATCACATAAATGTGTAATAAAAAGACTAACGAACAAGCATTGGAGATGGTGAAATATAGAAAAGGCGTGGGATATAGATATTAATGAAACCGAGCACCGTTTAGTATTTTGTCGTTTTTTCTCAACAATATTTTTCTGTTATCTACTCGTTTGCTGCAGACTCCCGACATAGATACGTATACTCATACTTGGTCTTTTGTTGTCTTACAACTATCCGTCCACTGTTACGGTTCGTGTCCTCTTCCCCTCCCCAGAAATTATGTGTTATGGATCGTGTGACAATGCTCAATGACACAAGTGGAGTTAAGTCACGTGGTCGCACATTAGACTTGTCCTCGACTGGGACCGCTTCATCTAAGCCTGATGTATTGTCACGTCCTGAAATCAATGAAAAACTGGACCCATCGACTGGGGATTTCGGGAGCTCTAAACGATCAGATTCAGTAGACGAGGGATTGGTAAGCTCTGATTTCCGTTCCGCCATACCGATGTTTTTCCTGATTTATTGTTTCACTGAAGTGTATCATCAAGTATATACCTCACCACATCTCCTCCTCTACGAAAACGGAAGCGTTCTTTCCAGTTCTAGTTTGTTAGATATGTTTGTTTATCGATTGTCTTGGAAAAAATTTTCTGCTTCCTTTTCATTGAGTATTGTGTTGGTCTGTGTTAGTCCGCTTGTTTCAAATGCAATTAAAGTGACTCGACTAACATGAGCTGTATGAAAAAAACGAAGCGGCTATTGTGAAATGACTTACTTTGTGTACATTGTGAACTTGGCTGCGATCAGTGAAGTTAGCTTCACTGTATCTCGCATAAGGATGATGATAATGGGGATAAAGATGGTGATGATGCTCCGCCAAGCTGAAGGTTCGTCCAAAACTCCCTTTTGGTTGAGCAGATAGGGATTTCATGGGGATAAAATTGGTTTCACACTGATTTGTAACCTATGATTGTGTATGTCAACAATGAGTTCCTCCAACTGATTGTGAATTCTGTGGCACAGTGCGTTTGGATCTGTTCGTCTACTGTAATAATACGCTGTTCTGCGATCTCGCGGATTCCGATGTTGCTATAGCCATCCAGTTAACGTTCTAGTTCTTCACCAAAAACGAGACAGACCTTTTGCATTCTGCATGCATATTCTCTGACGGTTTTCGGTTTAATTTAAAAGTCAGTGCAAGGTGTATGTGTGGGGAGGGGTCAAGGGTGGAGGATGATTGCACAACACACTGCTACGTACGTTCAATTTTTGAAGGCGAATCTTGAAAAGGTCTGTTGCGGTTATTGAATGCCCAATACCCACGCCACAAAAGCGATCTAGCTCTTTTGCCTTTAATAAATCTCCTGGATTGTGGAATGCGAGTGGTAAAAGGGACCCACTTTTTACCTTTCTGTAACACAGTTTAGATCTCGTTTGCACACGAAGTTCTACCCCGGCTTTCGTGCAACTAAACACAAGCACACAACGAAAATCCGTAGAGGCTTGTTGGTTACTGAAGCGATTCGGGCACCACGCGTAACAAAAAACATGTTTGCCCCGTGCCAAAGTAGAAATTCAGACTAAAAGCAGTCACCCCATGGGAAGTATTGATAGGCACGCACGTACCAGATCNAGATCCCCCCCCCACACACACACTTAGAGGAGTAGATTGTGTAAACGGATGTTTGAAGCTCTCCACTCTGTGAGAGGAACTAGTCGAACGAACAGACGCATGCCGGTTCCGGGAGGAAAATGCACCACGCAAAAACTGACGAATTCCAGATACTTTTCCATATTTTGATTTATTATGGAATGAGCTAACTGCTTTTGCGTATTTCGAGCCCTAACTACTCCGTCTACCATTCAAGCTCCTGTTGTTTCCAGTATTTCACCACAGATAATCATAATTCAATTTTTTTAGTTTCCCTTTATCCGCCTTTAAGGTTGTTCCCTTTTGCAAAATAATCTCACGCTCTAGAATGGCTTTATGAATTATGTCATCGGGGTTTTGAAGTGCAAAACTTCGTAATCGAAGATGATGTTGACAAACGGTTTCTTTGTCGAACTGTACATGTTCCCAACACTGTACACCATAGAATTTGACCTAGTGAAGTGGTAAAATCGAATGCATGTTCGTTTCCATCGTCCTATCAGATTCATAGTTTATCACACTATTCGTTCACTCTACTCAGTTATCCTGTCGCCCGACTTTGAAATCCAACTTGTATTCACTAAATTTTGTGTGAGTGATACCTGAATTTTACAATTCACTGCACTTCAGTATCCGAACGTTCGGATCATATAAGTCTGTCCTGTTCTCCCAATGGAGCCGATAACCGTATCTCCAGTGGTTATGAATCTACTCAAAAACATAATCGGAGATCAGGATTTATCAAAATCTTCATAGGAGCTAACTGCCAATGTCTTCTCAAGGGATTTATAGCCTCGGAGTTTTTGTACTTCATTGAGAACAGCCTTACAATTAGACTGCATTAATCAGGTTGTCACTCATCAAAGACTGTAAACTTAGTCATGCGGGGCAATTCGAGAGTCGAGTTGACTGGGATCGAGTAGATAGAGGGCTAAGAACCAATCCGAATGAGGTTAACCTAGGTTCATCAACTCTAAGTGGTCACAAAAATCACCGGTATTACGCGACGACTCAATGGGTTTTTGCTTCGCTAGCGCTGTTCACTATAAAATACCGCACCATCTTGTAGACCGCACTGTGACGTGGTAGCCAACGGTCACCACGAAAGCAAGTCACTGCTCTTTTGCTCCATCAACCCCAAATGGTTCTCCTTAGAAGAGTTACGAACTACTCAACATGTCACTGACTTATCCTTCAACAGTTGGGTAGTGGTCCTCAAGCGGTTTAATTCGCTGTCACTGGGCCCTAGGGTCCGAGGCTCAAATCTCACCCTCGCCAAGCAGTTTTGACAGTAGACAGCTTCTCTATCGTCCGGTTCCATTTCAAACCTAACCTAATGGAACCTTATATAGTTCTGTACTTTACGTTTGTAGACTTTTGATATCAGTGAGTGAACAGCAGATCCTCGTGACCTTGAGATTTACAACATCTGCTTTTTATAGCACAAAAAAATGTGATGAAAAATTAATGAATTGTTTCGAAAGGCTTCTGGAACGATGAAATCCCTTCGCCTTGGTACCCGTTGTCGGCCATTCAGAGGCGTTTGTCAACTCGGGACAAATCCTGGGGCCTTCTTCACCTTACCAAACGAATTCCTATCAGTGATTTACATCATTGTGCCACATTTACACCACACGCGCACAAATCACTGGCTCATTCCATCCTGCAAATGTCACTTCATTTCATGCCTGTCCCCATGGGTTTAACGACAATTCCTAACTGAAAACTATATTTCTCGATCTCATTCAAGGAGAATTCGGCACTCCCTTAACAAATTCTGCTTCAGTTATTCTCTCTCCAAATTTTTAGGCCTCCCACTTGTACCAGGCTGATCGATTTGAACTATTGATAAACTTCGATAACACCTAACCACGTCATATGGTTTGAAACTAGTTTTCGGCAGTCTCATATATGATGGTTCTTCTTTCTTCCTCTCTGTATGTGTGCCTGTTTGTGCGCAAATAAGAAACTCGCTTTTTCGGAGAACCTGTAGCTACATCCTGTGTTATTCATTATTACCCTTTCAGTCACTGATGTCTTTTCAAAGGCACACTTTCCTGTTCCTTCAACTTTCTTTCCGGTCCCCCCCTCTCACTCTCTCGGGCAAACGGACAAGCCGTCATTCATATTCACTAACCTTCATGGTTGAAATGTCAACGAGAACTCGGTTCGCGTCTGCTGAATGCCAATGCGCAATTGTAGATCAGTGGTTTCTCTCAGATCAACAAAATGTCATTTCTACATGTTGGCTGCCTAGCTATCCCTTTCCTCGTCTGCCTTGGTCAACTTCTTCACTTCTAACTAACAACTTCTGAGCTCCAATAGCTACTACCAGCTAGTGGCCTGGCTATCTAATCACTCTTCCATGCGCACACTTACACATTCGAGCATTTGTTGATCAACGGCCACTTTCCTCTATGGGGACAACCACTGACGAAATTGACCTTGTTTCTGGATTTCACTTCTGACTGTATTTCTGGCTTCATAGAAAATTACTTTCCGACCGGCTGACATCAGTCATACTCGGACTAGAGTGATCAAATTCATCGGGGGGAGGGGGGGGCTGAGCATTGACCAACACCAGGCAAAATACCTTAATCTGCACGCACACACTTCCATCCTGATGTGTTTGTGTGAACAGAGCACACTCTTTCTCGCTCGAACGTGTCACTCCTACGTATTAGCCGTTCCCGCCCACGGTGACTATTGCACAGCCGTGTTCACACACACACTTCGGACCTGTTCGAATTTGAGGCCTGGTTCACCTGTATGCTTCCTTCTCATGACTCCGTGTTTTCGTTTACCCACATTACTTGCAGACTAGCGGGCAGTCGAAGGGATAATGACAGGGATGATATTTACAAAATACGGACCGTAAACAGCGCTGGAACAAAGGTATT